AAAAAAAAAAAAAAAAATATATATATATATATACACACACACACACACACACACACATATAAACTATATATAAATAGTAGCAGGTATATATAGTAAAAGAACAAAGAAATATAAAGGAATGATAAACACTGAATGGGATAGTGAAGCAAAAAGCAGTGAGCAAATGGAGAAAGAATTACTCAAAGGGCTTCAAGTATACTGATAACATTTTATTCTTTAAACTGGTTAGTAGATGTGAAAGGGTTTGTTATAATATTCTTTAAATCTTTCTGTATACTTGAGATATTATAGATTCTCATATCCAGAAGTTTCTTTCTGAGAAAACTCCCACAAAGTGTACTAGGAGACATATAAAAATGAACATTGCAGATTTGGCACCTATAGTTTAGTGAGTAGGGCACTGGCCACATACTTGCTCAAGCCCAGCCCTGGCCAGCTAAACAATGACAACTGAAACAACAGAAAAATAGCCGGGCGTGCCTATAGTGCCTATAGTCCCAGCTACTTGGGAGGCTGAGGCAAGAGAATTGCCTAAGCCCAAGAGTTTGAGGTTGCTGTGAGCTGTGATGCCAAAGCACTCTATTGAGGGCGACATAGTGAGACTCTGTCTCAAAAATAAAAAAAGAACATTGCAGCATTATTTGTCACCATGAGAAACTGCAAACAATCTAAATGCCTATTGTCAGGAGAATAGATAAGTGAATTTTGGTATATTCGTACAATTAAAACCATCAGTAGTTAAAATGAATGAACTAGAGCTACATATATTAATATGGCAAATCTTTTATTTATTTATTTATTTTTGAGACAGAGCCTCAAGCTATCACCCTGAGTAGAGTGCTGTGGCTACACAGCTCACAGCAACCCTAAACTCTTGGGCTTAAACGATTCTCTTGCCTCAGCCTCCCAAGTAGCTGGGATTACAGGTGCCCACCACAACACCTGGTTATTTTTTGGTTATAGTTGTCATTGTTGTTTGGCGGGCCCGGACTGGATTTGAACCCGCCAGCTCCAGGGTATGTGGCTGGCACCTTAGCCGCTTGAGCTACAGGTGCCGAGCCAATATGGCAAATCTTAAAACATAGTTTGAGCAAAAATGTTACCAAAAGATACTTTCAGTATGATATTCATTTGTATTCATATTAAAAACCTGTAAAACAGTTACATATATTCATTATGGTTATATTACATGTGTAAAAAAGTATGAGAACATAGTGGGATGGTGTGGTTAATTTTGTGTAATGAATTTGGCTATACCATAGTACCCAGATATTTGGTTGAACATTACTCTAGGTGTTTCTGTGAAGGTATTCTTTTAGATGAACTTAACATTTCAACCAGTAGACTTTAAGTGAAGCAGATTATCCTCCATAATATGAGTGGGCCTTGTCCAATCAGTTGAAAAACACTGACCTCAAGTAAGAAAGAGTTCTGCCAGCAGCCTACCTTTGGACGCGAAATGTAACTCTTCCCAGTCTCTAACTTGCCTACCTGCTCTACAGATTTTGGACTTAACCAAGCCTCTTCAACTGTGTGAGCCAATTCCTTAAGATAAATCTCTCTCTCTCTCGCTCTTTCTCTCTCCACACACACACACACAGGGTGCCAAAAAAATGCATACACATTTTAAGAAAGGAAAAAAGTGTATTAAAATTATAATACTGAAGTCGTATTTGATTTCTGAATTTACAGAATGTGCTCAAATGTGACTTGTATTTCTCTTTCATTGTCAGTACATATTGAGTTTTACAATTTTTTTTTTCTTTTTTTGAGACAGAGTCTCACTATGTCGCCCTTGATAGAATGCTATGGCATCACAACTCACAGCAACCTCAAACTCCTGGGCCCAAGCAATTCTCCTGCCTCAGCCTCCCAAGCAGCCAGGACTACAGGTGCCCACCACAACGCCCAGCTATTTTTTTTTGTTATTGTTGTTGCAGTTGTCATTCAGCCAGCCCGGGCCAGGTTTGAACCCACCAGCCGTGGTGCATGTGGCCAGCGCCATAATCACTGTGCTACAGGTGCCGAGGCTGAATTTTACAATTTTACATAGTTTTTTTCTTTCTCAAAATACATGTACATTTTTTGGCACCCTCTGTATACACACACACACAGAGTTCATCATGTTGGTTCTGTTTCTCTAGAGAGTCCTAATACAGGATGGATAAAACCCAAGTTCAGTGTGGTGATTACCTTTGAGGAAGAAGGAGAAAGGGATTAGATGTGATCTACAGGAAGCTTTAACTGTATCTATGTAATGTTTTATTTATTTTTATTTATTTATTTATTTATTTATTATTTCACTCTGTCACCCTGGGTAGAGTGTTGTGGCTTCATAGCTCACAACAACCTCAAATTGGGCTTGAGCAATCCTCTTGCCTTAGCCTCCTGAGCAGCTGGGACTACAAGTGTACTCTGCTACACCCAGCTAATTTTTCTATTTTTATTAGAGACAGGGTCTCACTCTTGCTCAGGCTGATTTCGAACTTCTGAGCTCAGGGGATCCACCCATCTCAGCCTCCTAGAGTGTTAGAATTACAGGTGTGAGCCATCGCGCCCGGTCTGTTTTATTTATTTTTAAAAATCTGAAGCAAATATAGCAAAAAATAAAGCTTTGGCAAGGCTAGGTGATAGGTACACAATATTTGTTACAGTATCTCTGTTTTTCTGTCAGCTTGAAGTATTTTATTATAAAACAAATTATAGATCAAAAAGATTTAGAATCCCCATGAAACAATAACAAAATTAATTTATTATGTCACTCCCTTAATCAAAAACTTCTGTTGCCTCTCTGATGTCTTCAAAATGAAGTCCAAATTATTTATGCCAGCCTCCATAATCTGGCCCCACATTACCTTTCAAACTTACTGCCCACTACTTTCTGTATCTGTTTGATATAGGTATATCGCTCTGCTCATTGTGTCTTAGACACACCTTAAACATTTCTGAGTACCTTTTATTTAGTCTATCTAATTTTCCTGAAATAACCTTGCACCTTCTCATCCTTTCTTTTTGAGACAGAGTCTCACTTTGTTCCCTTTGGTACAGTGCTGTGGTGTCATAGCTCATAGCAACCTCAAACTCTTGGGCTTAAAGCAATACCCTTGTCTCAGCCTCGCTGGTAGCTGGGACTATAGGTGCCTGGCTATTTTTTAGAGATGGCTAGTCAGGCTCGTCTCAAACTCGCATTGAGCTCAGGCAGTGCAGTCCACCCACCTCAGCCTCTTAGACTGCTAGAATTACAGGCATGAGCCACCACACCCAGCCTTTCTCATCCTTTAAGACCCAGTTCCCCTGACCTGCTCTGTTAAGCCTTTCCTGATCTCCCCACCTGCAGTTATCTCTCTCCTCTAAACTTCCACGTTACTTGGTTTGACACACCAGGGAGTACTTACCTATGGACTTAGATCTTTTTTTTTTTTTTTTGAGACAGAGCCTCAAGCTATTGCCCTGGGTAGAGTGCTGTGGCTTTACAGCAACCTCCAACTCCTGGGCTCAAGTAATTCTCCTGCCTCTGCCTCCCAAGTAGCTGGGACTACAAGCGCCGGCCACAATGCCTGGCTATTTTTTTTTTGGTTGCAGCCATCATTGTTGTTTGGTGAGCCCAGGCTGGATTTGAACCCACATACACTGTGGCTGGTGCCTTAGCCACTTGAGCCACAGGCACTGAGCCAACTTAGATCATTAGTAGACTTTTCATTTACACTTGTTTTAGCTACAAGTAAGTAAAATGTAAATGGTATAAAAAGTATTAATAAAATGTAAAATGGTATAGTTGCCATGGAAAACGGTTTGGCTTTTCCTCAAAAAAACTAAACAAAATTACCATATGACCCAGCAGTTCTATTCCTAGGTATGTACCTAATGGAACTGAGAGCAGGTACTTAGATATTTTTATGCTAACGTTCATTCCAGCATCATTTGTAATAGCCAAAAGGTATAAACACATGCATCCATCAACAACAGATGAATGAATAAACCAAATGTGGTGTATGCTACATATAACAAGGATGATAGAAACCAGGAGCAAAAGGACAAATACTGCATGAGTCTATGTATGTGAGATACCTAGAACATGGGAATTCATGGAGACAGAAAATTATAGATTAGAGGTTACCAGGAGTTAGGAGGAGGGGAAAATGGGGAGTTATTGCTTAATGGTTACAGAGTTTATACTGGGATGATGAAAATGTTTTGGAAATAGGCAGTAGTGATGGTTCACAACATTGAGAACGTAATTGATGTCACTGAATTGTACACTTAAAAATCATTAAAATGGTACATTTTATGTTATCTATATTTATCACAAGATAAAAAATAATGTAATGTATCAAAAACTATTGAATTTTTATTCATTTTATTTTATTTTATTTTTTGAGACAGAGTCTCACTTTAATATCGTTGATAGAGTGCTATGGCATCATAGCTCACAGCAACCTCAAACTCTTGGGTTCAAGTGATCCTCTTGCCTCAGCTTCCTGGATAACTGGGACTACAAGCACCTATCACAAAGCCCAGCTAGTTTTAGAGAAGGATTCTTTCTGGTCTCAAACTCCTGAGCTCACCACCCACCTTGGCCTCCCAGAATGCTAGGATTACAGGCGTAAGCCACCACACCTGGCCCTGAATTGTACACTTTAAATGGGTGAATTTTATGGTGTGTAAATTATTTTGCAATAAAGCTGTTAAAAAACAAATAAACACAGTGACATACCATTTTACATCTAGTAGGATGTCTAGAATCAAAAAGTTAGATAACAAGTATTGGTGAGAATGTGAAAATATACAAACACTCATATGTGTTTGGGAATAAAATGGTGCAGTCATTTTGGAAAACAGTCTGGCAGTTCCTCAAATGTTTGAGCATAGAGTTATCATATGACCCAGCAATTCCGCTCTTAGGTATATCCCCAAGAGAAATGAAAACATAATGTCCATGCAGAAACTTGCACATAAATGTTATTAGCAGCAATATTCATAATAGCCAAAAGGTGGAAAAAACTCAAATGTCCATCAGTGAGTGAAATGGATAACCAAAATGTTGTACATGCATACAATGGAATATTAGTTGATCATGAAAAGAAATGAAATGCTGATATATGCTACGAGATGAATGAACCTTGAAAACACAATGTTAAGTGAAATAAACCAGTCACAAAAGACCACATACTATATGATTTAATTCATATTAAAATCCAGAATAAGGAAATCTATAGAGACAGAAAGTAGAGTATTGGTTGCTTAGGGATGGGGGTAGTAAAGGACAGAGAGATGGGAGGGTGATAGCTAAAAGAAAAGGATTTCCTTTTGAGGTGATGAAAATGTTCTAAAATTGACCATAGCAATGGCTACATATGTCTGTGAATATACTAAAAACAATTCAATTGTACACTTTAAATGGGTAAAGTATAGTAAAGTATAGTATATGAATTATATTTCAGTAAAGCTGGGTGTCTTTTTTTTGGCCAGGGCCAGGTTTGAACCCGCCATTTCCAGTGTATAGGGCTGGTGCCCTACTCCTTTGAGCCACAGGTGCCACCCCAATGAAGCTGTTTTTAAAAGTAGTCTCTTCATAATCTGAAGTTTTTATAGAGGCAAATAAAATAATGTTTTTAGTACAAAGTATATTAATAATGTCTATCTTTGACCCTTTCTATGAATTTATTTCTTTTTAAATCAAAAATCATTTAAGATTCTGGTAAATTAAAGCATGTCTTTTGATCAACCCATTATTCAAAGTATTTGTAGGTCAGAATGGTAAGGATAAATCAATAGTCAAATTTTGGAATTAAGGCATTTTAAGAAAGTTAATCTGGCTCAGCGCCTGTGGCTCAAGTGGCTAAGGCGCCAGCCACGTACACCTGAGCTGGCAGGTTCGAATCCAACCTGGGCCCACCAAACAACAATGACAGCTGCAACCAAAAAATAGCCAGGCTTTGGGGAGAGCGTCTGTAGTCCCAGCTACTTGGGAGGCAGAGGCAGGAGACTCACTTGAGCCCAGGAATTGGAGGTTGCTGTGAGCTGTGATGCCACAGCACTCTACCCAGGGTGACAACTTGAGGCTCTGTCTCAAAAAAAAAAAAAAAAAAGAATAGTTAATCTCTTGGTTACTACTTCTTAAGAAACCTGGTTACAATAACTGTTTAACTATGGTTAAATAAGTTGTTCTGATTGTTATCAAATATGCATATTGACCTTCCTAGGAAGAATGGTTGACAGTTCTTTTGTCCTCATAGGAAGTGCCCGGAAACTGGAGTTAAGGATCAGATTATTCTGTAGGAGTGTCCTGCTTGATCACTGGACACATCGAAGTGATTCAGCTTTTTGGTTGACGCGAATATTAAAACCATGGCCCATGGTGAATCAAGCAAGATTACTGTATATCATCTTTGGTCCAATCTCTTCTCAGGATGGTGAGCACTCATTTTTCAAAGATGTATGTTACATAACTGTTAATTACTTTTACTTTAGGAAACAAATTTTTTTGTATCTGCTCAGTTTTCATCATTTTTAATGATTAACTGTTTCAAGATTTCATAGCTGTATACGACATTAATTTGTACATCACCTAAACTAACCTAAGAAAGTAATTTTTCTGCTTGAGGCCATTACCAAATGTATTCCTATCATCCCTGGTTTACCTAAAATAACTGCTTTTCATTTTTGAACATTATCTTAACTCAAGGTTATGTTTGCTATTAGAGACAACTAATAGTGCTATTAAAGTAAAGTGGTATTCAGAACTAATGCTTTATTTAATTTTGGATTCAAGTAGGAATTTTGCAAGTTTTTGCCTAAGTTTTGCTTAGATTATTGTTAAAATTATCATGAATTTCTTCAGTTCACATTAACTTATATGTCAGAAAGTAACAAACTTAAACTATGCTGAGTAGCAGAAGGAAGCAAGACTGGGATTAAATTTTTGTTTTCTGTAATCCACAAATATAACTGATCATAGGTAATCAAAAGTTAACTGAATTACTCCATCTTGATATAAATGTTTAAAAGATTCTCAAATATAGCATGCTTTCTTTTTAGAAGGTTATTCATAGGTTTTATTTTATTTTAGTAAAATTACATGAATTGGTTATCCAATTTCTATTATAGAGTAGTATTATCTTTGAACTAGAAACACTATTCTGCTTAATGCAACTACTTTTTCTTTACTTCATTTAGCTACTGTTGCTGTGCTTCATCTCATTAGTAAGAAACATTCATTCAGGGGTGGCGGCTGTGGCTCAAGGAATAGGGCGCCAGCCCCATATACCAGAGGTAGCGGGTTCAAACCTGGCCCCGGCCAAAAAAAAAAAAAAAAAGAAACATTCATTCAGATTTATACTGTTATCAGAACTGACTTTTCATTATGAAAGTTAAAATGAAAGGGCCAGGTGTAGTGGCTCACTCCTATAATCCTAGCACTGTGGGAGGCCAGGGCAGGTGGATTGCTTGAGCTCTTGAGTTCAAGACCAGCCTGAACAAAAGTGAGACCCCGTCTCTACTAAAAATGGAAAACCTGAGGCAAGAGGATCACTTGAGCCTGAGTTGGAGGTTGCTGTGAGCTATGATGCCATGGCACTCTACCCAGGGTGACAGCTTGAGATTCTGTCTCAAAAAAAAAACAACAAAAAAAACGCTCAGCGCCTGTGGCTCAAGTGGCTAAGGCACCAGCCACATACACCTGAGCTGGTGGGTTTGAATCCAGCCCAGGCCTGCCAAACAACAATGATGGCTGCAACCAAAAAATAGCCAGGCGTTATTGCAGGTGCCTGTAATCCCAGCTACTAGGGAGGCAGAGGCAGGAGAATCACTTGAGCCCAGGAGTTGGAGGTTGCTGTGAGCTGTGATGCACTCTACCCAGGGTGACAACTTGAGGCAATGTCTCAAAAAAAAAAAAGAAAGAAAGAAAGTTAAAATGAAAGTAGCTTATATAAGTAATGGGATTTCATCATGCAATCTATTTTTCTTTTTAAACAATTCATGAAGTCTTTATCACAAAACCAACTATTCTGTCATAGCCTAGTTTTTGTTTTAATTTAGGCCAGGTGGTTTGGCAGAAAATGATAGAAGGACCTACAGATGAATCCAGTTTGAAAGGTTTGGCCGATGCCATTAAATTACTATATGACACAGGCACTAAAGAGTGGACAGCAGATGATGTTATCAGTCTTGTAGATGAACTGTCAGGTAAAAATATGTATATTTACTAACATGGAATAATATAAATTTATTAGTAGAATACAGTTTTAAAATTATAAGGGTAATTCTATTAACAAATGAAGTGCCTATCGAAAATCACTAAATGCTCTAAAATGTTTAGACTTTGCATTATGTTTAAAGAGAATGCATATAATCAACTTACTTTCGTTTGCTTGCCAATTTTATAAATATATGTTGTTATTATTTGAAAGCTTTATAGTTTAATTAGTTCAATTACTCCCATTTTCCAAGTTCTCAGAATCGCCCTCCTAGGTTATGTAAAAAGAAAGCCTTCTGGGGGTGGCGCCTGTGGCTCAAGGAGTAGGGTGCTGGCCCCATATACCAGAGGTGGTAGGTTCAAACCCGGCCCTGGCCAAAAACTGCAAAAAAAAAAAATTTATTAAATAAATAAATAAAATAAATAAAGGTAAAGGGGAAAATTAAAAAAAAAAAGAAGAAGAAAGCCTTCTGTTGGTACAGGAGAGGTGAAACAGTTTTTCTCATTCCTGCATAATCCTTTAGATTCCAAAGTTTATAAAATTGCTTTCCTTAAACAGGGTTAGATCACTTTGCCTGCTGATCTATGTGCAGGAGGAATGTTTTAACTATATTACTAGTACGTTTGTAAGAGCCACCATGACATGGCTATAACATCTGTCTTTGGCTCAGTGCTGAAACTGAAAAATTAAAGCATTTTTTTTCAAGCATTTCCTTAGCAGTAATTGTATTTC